CCCTCCCTCCCTCCCTCCTCCTCTACTTTACCCCCTCTCCCTCCATCCTTCCACACTCTTTCTTTCCCATTCAACAGCGCCAGCCACTTGTCTTCTGTGGCAGTGCTCAGCTGGTCCAATCCCCTGAACAGATCCAAGACTTCCACTGTGTTCAGCTGCCAGGACGATGGAGGTCTTCCAATTCGACGCCTCTCCTTACTAGAACTCGCCTCTGGGCAGGTGTATAAAAAAGCAGAAGTCAGTGGTGTTACCGTAAAGAAGGAAGCACATTTAAACAGATTAAGACCCATGCTTCTGTTCAAAGCTCTGACACTTAATTCTGCCTGAATGAGAGGTGACGTGTGATATGAATCGTACAAGATATGGTTTGGGATGTTCAAACGTTTATGGAAATATCTGCAAGCATTAAGGATTATGGGTGTGCAAAGGGAGGCAACAAGCATGTCAGTATAGCTATTTCTGTCCTCAATGACTTGCTGCCAAATACATTTTTTTCCAGCATTTGATAAACTCGCTACATCAATATAAAGTCTAGCGTGTTTCTATGGAAACTTAGACCTCCAGGAAGGTTGAAATTTGCCACTTAGCTCAAGAATAGCTGCTCAGTAATAGCATACAATGATAAATCTTTCCAAGGTGTTCAGTTTACATTTTTGCATCATAGAGACAAATACTGTACAACTTTATACATCCACACATTGTCAAACTTGTGTTTTAACACACAGTGGATAAAAGCATGTATCAAATAACAGTTAAATCTGTGTTGGTCACAAGTGAAACACGGTTGTATTTCTTCAAACAACTTTAAAACGTATTTTGTTAACAGATTTTGTAACGTTTTTTAAAGTTGCCTCTTGCTGTAATTTCTTGTATGGCTTGTGAATAATTTGTCCAACATGACTGAGGAGCAGTGAGAAGTAATCTTGAAAATGAATGTTAATGCCTTAATAGATGCACAAAAGCATTGTGCATACTGATAACTGAAACTGTCAGACAAATTCTCTTAAACTGTACATACATGCACAACCATGCAGATACACACCAACATGCAGAAACACACACGGACTGATGCAGGTCCCCCGGGGGAGCGACAGCGCAGTACAGCGTTGTACTTGGTTTACTTGGTCTACTTGGTGATGTCTCCATGGAAACTGTTATGTCTGACCTTCAAACATGTGCGCTGCCTTCCATCTGGCTCAGGTTGGCTAATCAGATCACATCAACACACACACAAATGAACCGTCAGATCTCATCATGAATGAAGATAATTTTTTGAGTCATTGTTAGATCACCATCCTCCTGAACGAGTGTGTTATCAGCCACTGTAATATCTGGTTGTTGTTTTTTTTTTTTTTTTACAGCTCACTTAAACTTATGGATCTGATTTTAGGATTGCTACTTTGCCTTGTTTTCATTTGCACACTGACAGGCATGCTATAGCTCTAACAAGATGAAAAGTTCCCTTTGAGTCGATGTAGTTTGCAGGGGGTTTTGATGAAGACTTGATTCAATTAGTGCTTCTTTAATAAGAAAACAGTCCATAACCCAGCTTTCACAAACTGCCTCTGTGGTACCCCTTCTCTTTTTTTGTTCCACCTCAACTCCCTGCCCCTTTCATTTCTGTTCAATACTCGCATCTGCTCTGCTGATCGCAAATTCATAAGGCGCTCCAGAAGGGCCAACATCTGGCAGCTCCTTAGGCCCAGGGCCGTGCATCCGTTCTGGGGCAACAAGGCCTGGAGACCATCCCCTCCTGCAGAGCTCAGCCTTTGGTGTGTGTGGTACCGTTTCAGAGTCTCTATTTCCTGCGTGCTGTTGCCTTGATGTGGCCAGAACCATAGCGCATGATTTATTACAGTACTAACTTTGTCCCCATTACTAATACTGCCATTATTATGACCATACACTCCCCCCCTCCTTCCTCAATCTCCCACCTGCAGTCTTACACTGAAGCATTTACCAGATACAGCTGACAAAGCTCTGCATGACTTACATAAGGAGCCTTGTGTTGTTTGCCTTAATGGATGTTTGGTCTCAGTAGAAGATGTTTAAAGAGCGGAGGAGCCACGCTGTGAGTGAGGTGACAGAATTGTTGGGGAGATGACACATTGTTAATCAACTGCAGGTCAGCGAGATCAGCTGTTTTCATTTCTGTCCCACCTCCTCATACTTGTTGGGTTGACTACTGGTTTGTTTCCTCGTGTGGTTTACGGGTGGCATGCATGGTCCAAGGGGAACCAGTAAGAGTGGGGGTGGACGTGGCTGGGGGCTAAATTGTTTTTTGGCTGTGTGGCCAAATCAAAGCGACCTCATCAAAGTCATCCAACCAGTGCTTCCCACAACCTTCCTTGCCTCTTGTCGTCTGTTTATGTAAGTGCCATGCAGTGTAATCAGCAGGGCTTGAACAGAGAGGAAGATGGATGAAAGGATGAAGAGGATGGAGAGGTGTAGAGATGGAGGAAAGCACCAGAACCGGAAGGCTCTGGTTTTTTGTGTAAGCAAAGCCAGAGTGAAGTTGCAGAGGCGAGAGGGAAAAGGGCAGCGGAAGTGAGAGGGGTCCAGAGGATGAGAGGAAGTCCAGACAGGAGGGATGTGGTGGAGTTGTGTTTACAGGCCACGGTCAAACAGCGCACTGTGGCTTTGTGTGTCAGCAGCTCCGAGTTTGCGATGGGTTACCGCTGCAAACCAATAATCAAGCGATATTTACACCACTGTAGACAATTAGTCAATTTCTCAGGAAGTGTGACACTTAAGCATGTGAATGCAGAAGCAACAAAAACAACAGTTCCTTCATCGGTGGCTTTGTTGCAGGCCTTCCTTATAAATAGACATAAACAAGCAGGAAGTGGAAGCTCTTTTTTAAACACCCACATTTATACACATACAAACATTGATCACTATTGTGTTCCCCGCTGAGACTCAAGCTTGGGTATCCCCCCCTCCTGTGACGAGACTCCCTCGCAGACAGCTGCCTCAAAGCTCCACAGAGGTATCACATCTCCTCCTCTTCCTCATCTCCTTAATTAGGACAATTAAGAGATTTACAGGACAGATGGAATGAAATCCATCTGGCTGCAGTGCCTGCCCCTGAGGACGGCTCTGTGGATGATGAGGTGAGATCTAAATGTGAGCGCTGGAGAGAGTTACAGCAACTCACTGGTGGGGCTCTGGTGCCCTCTAGTGGTTGGAGGTGGATACTGGTGGTCGGTGGTTGGAAGAGTTGTGGACACAAGTTTCTATTTTATTTAGATAATGATAATAATAATAAATGGAGTTTAGTGTTTAATTTTAATTGAAAGAACAGATTTTAAAATGAGGTACATATTCTGACTGTAGGCTATTGAGTTTTAATGAAGAATGATGACATTTTCTTTAATTAAAAAGATTTTAATCAGAGGAGCCATTTGTATAATTTCCGCTATAATTTAAAAAAAAAAGGATCAATCAAAGTTTATTCTCAACACTGCATTCATAAACCTTCTTTCATCACGTATGTATTTGTGATTTTGATCTGTTGAATCTGTTGCGTCAACATGACACAAGATGATTTTTGGTCCAATAATGTAATAACAATTTGGACGTTTATTATACATTATAAAGGAAAATAAGCAAAGATGTGGTACCATTTCATTACAGATGAAGTCACATAAAAACAGAAGTTAATTATTGACCTGTTAATGGTTATAAGAGTAAACTTTATAATCAAACACACACACAAACACACACACATATATATATTGTTAGAAAAAGAGAAAGAGGGAAATAAAAAGACAAATTTTGACCTGTCAATGGTTGCAACAAGAAAACACTAACCCATGTGATTAGACCTTCTGTGAGTGTTAACAAAGTAAAGATTAGTTTGAATCAACAGGTGAAGTTGTAGCAGATTTGGCTTCTTTCCTCAATGACACATGAACAGAAATATACAATCTCCCTCGGCGCATTTCTTATAAGAATTTAAAGTACAAATAGTGGTATTTGTGAGTTTCTAGGCTTAAAGTGTAGAGCAACTGAGAGTTTTTCACAGCTCCTGTAGTGACTCAGCTCCTCTGTAACGTAGCGCTCCGCCGGTCAGCCACCTGCACACAACAACAAAAATGCCATTGTTCACTCCGGCAGACGGAAATTAAGTGTTTATAAGTGGCTTAATTCTCTAAATGTGCGACCGCTCACATGTTCAGGGTGCCCTTTTTCTGTGTTACACCTAGAAACGGAGAGAGTGGGAATCAAATTAAAAGGGCATTTAAATAAATAGTTCAAGTCAAGTTCACCGTCGAGCACTCACGTCTAATTTGCCATGCGGTTACTATGGCAACAGCGAACACCACCAGCACCACCGGCACCACGATGGCGGCCAGGTGACCGCCCTGACTCTCCTCCTCGACGCTCGCCTGGCAGAGAGGGTTTTCAACAACGACAACAGTTCAACTTCACATAGATATAACGTTATATCAAGTGTCTGCTTTACGGCGACACATTAGCATTCAATTGGAGTCCTGTTTTCTGGCCACTTCATGAGTGTAAAGTCCAATAGACTCTGCTTCAGATCTGGTTTTGGTCCAGATAAACAGCTCAATTTATTGTAGCTTTCCACTGACTTTGCCTTTTGTTGCTGGACGGGTAGAGTTGGTGTATCAGAGAAACAATGAGCAACGAGAGACTAGAGCTCTCTATATTATTAACTTTGACATTATGTGATTGATATTCAGTGGTGAAATGTAGTTAACTAGTACATTTACTGCACTGCAGGTAAATTTGAGCGCTACTTGTACTTTACTTTAGTCTTTTCTTTTCATGCCACTGTATATTTACACTTCACTACCATTATCTTACAGCTGTGGTCTGTAGTTAGTTTACAAATTAAGATTTTTGCATACAAAGAGCTTATAAAAAATTATGTTTTGTTTAGGGCTGCACGATATGGCAAAAAAAGTCATATTGTGGTTATTTTGAAAGATATTGCAATTGCAATATTATTAATGATTAGTGTGGGGATGATCATTTTTGCATCACAATTAAGATTTTTACTGATAAAAACTAATAAAGTCATGATAATGTGAAATTTAGTTTTTTTCTTGTTTGTTTGTTTTTTTACATCTGGAGAACAAAATTAGTTGGTCAAACTACATTACTTATAGTAGTATAATGCAGTTTGATGCACATTTTACCTTCATCAAAAGATTACAGCTTCTGCAATTTGGCTATTGCACTTAACCATATTGTGAGTAATTGTGCATTAATTGTGTAGTTTCGTTATACATTTAACTACCCCACAATAATTAAGTACAGCTGAAGTGATTATTTGAGAGAACATTAATTTGGCATCATTTTTTATACAAAAACATTTCAAGGTTCCAGCTTCACAAATGTGAGGATTTACTGCCTTTCCTTGTAATTATTTTAATATGTTGTAATCCTGTACTAGTCTGAACAAATACTAGACAAAACAAGCATCATGAAGATGTCACTTTGGGCTCTGGGTTGTAACCAAAATATTTCATTTTCTGAATTTGTAAGTAAGTAAAGTAAGTAAGTAAGCAAGCAATTTTTAAGTAAAGAAACCAAACAATGAATCAGTTAATCGAGAAAATAAACAATTCATTACATCATTACATTATTACATGAGTAATATTAATTATTGTATAATAGTCACAGGGGACATTTTCTGCACTGTACTTCTACTTCTGATATTTTTTATGATTAAACTAAAAATAAAGTAACACTTTCAATGCAGGACATTTACTTGTGTTAAGGATTTGAATACTTCCTCAACAGCTCTTATTACTGAAGTCCTTGGTTTTATACTTACAGCAGCATGTGTGTCAGTAGATACGGTGGTAACGAGATTATCCACATGATTACCTGTCAGGCATAAACACAGAGTAAAGTAGCTAAGAGGAAATTTTGAAAGTGTTGTTAAGCATGCAAAAACAATACTAACAAAAGAAGTGAGAAGATATCAGGCCACATAAAGTGTGTTTCCAGTGGTCTGAGGAACTGTGATTGTGTTAGTTTATTTATATTTTTGCCTTACTGAGTGTGAATAAGATCCATTACTTCTGCTCTTAAGGAAACAGATCACATATAACCAATTCTATTATTATTAATGATCCACAGCATCAGTCACATTATGGTAAAGACTTAAATAATGAAAACATAAATCTAATGTTATAATGCACCACAGAAACATACAATTAAGAATCAATTAATCAATCAATCAATAAAAACAGCACCTCTTTCTCCAGTGGTGATGGTGAGGACATTGCTAGCTTTACTGGTGCCCAGATTGTTCTTGGCAAACATGCGGACGTTGTATGTGAAGGGGTTTATCTCGATTATAGTGGCCTTTGTCTGGTTAGGGCTGAAGTCTATAATGGTCTTTTTGTAATCCCACGAGGCTGTGGAAAAAACAAAATATATAATATTAAACACCAAAAGGATGTAGTGAAGCTTTCACAGTTGAATTACAGTGAAGTGGTCAAGATTTAATTACTCCATTGAATTTTTCTCTTACCATTAACTGCTTTATACTCCAGGTAATACCCAGTAATGGGGCTGTCACCTTGAAACCCAGGAGTCCATAAAAGAGAAATTATATTATCTTTGACCTCCTTTAACTTGAGCACTGGGGGATCCGGGGGCACTAGGAGACACACAGGAGAGACATTTGAATATATTTAACAATTTTTCTTTATAGAGTTTAGTATAATTTTGTGGATTTTAACATGTTTCTTCTGCAGAAAGACAGATTGTGATGATCGGATCATGTACACAAAAATCCTGGAGCTGTGAATAATTGATACAATTTTACAACTAGAACAACACCCATTGAAATTGGGCACAAGTTAATTTTGATGTTATGTTTGAAACAATAGCTTTTAACAGTTTCTTAACCCTTTATCGGGCGAGGAACCATTTATGGTAACTTCCTTTAAGTTTTTATTACACTTCTATGGCATATTTTGTGTGGTTTTTTATTAGGTGATAATATTATTGAGTACACTTCCACTGGTTACGGCTTTTTTCACAAATAACGTGAAAACTGTGCTTGATTTGGATTTGGTTATGTCTTATCTTATTACATATCTTCATAGTATACTGATGTGACATAATTCTTTTGCAGCAGCTGTCTGCTCAGTCCTTCTTGGGAAAAGGAGGGCCTGCTGTGCCACAGATTGTTGTTGTGCCAGCCCACCTAGACATCATTGGCTTTGATTTGCAGCCTAAAACTGAAACTTTTTTAAAAAAGTCAACAAAAAAAAACAAGTATTTCAATGAGGGGTTAATGACCTAATGTCAAATTGTTTGTGATTTTCATATTGGAAGACACATTTTCTTGGACTGAATGGTGGATACATTTTTCCCTCCAAATTGCTTCACCAATTCATGGGAAGCTAAAAACTCTGTATGAAACACATGAAGTACCTGAAGTGATACTTGTGGTTTGGTCTGCCCAGACTGTGGCAGCATCAACAGGCTCAGCTGTTGAAGTCGTGTGAAATTGGGACAAAAATTATCAGTGATTGAGTTAAAAAAAAAAAACATTTTCCAGTAATTATACATTTATTTTGTTATATTTCTCCAGATGAGTATCACCAATCCAATAACACATACCTGAAGTGATACTTGTAGTCTCTTGTATCCACATTGTGGCGGCAGTGGTTGTAGACTTACTAGTCGATGCAGTTGAAGTCGTGTGAACTTGAAACAGAATAAAATATGTTTTCCAATCTGTGTAAATGTCACTTGATATTAAACTGACATCATAATATTAATTAAATTCATGTTTTTACCCTCTTCTAGAGTGGAGCAGAGAGGCGCAGTTGAGGCAGGTCCTATCCCTGCATTTGTTTTGGCCTGTATGAGCACCCCGTAACTGGTAGAAGGCTTCAGGTTGACCAGAACGACGCTCTCTAGTTCCCGTGTGGCGGCCACACTTAAGTGCTGCCACCTTTTGAACTGTCTGCCTGCGGCGTCATACTCTCTGTAGCTAATGCTGTAACTCCGAAGAACCCCGTTTCTGAGATCGGACCTGGGAGGCTAGTCAAGAGAAAACACTCTTAGAGGAGGAAAATATTTAACACTCTTTCTTTCTAGATGCAGTTTCAAAATTTACCATCCAAGTGACTCTGATGCTATGACAAGTGAGGCCTTCCAGCTTCATATTCAGGGGTGGACCATCTGGTGCTGAAGGCAAAACAAGCTTTAAAGGCCATCCATCAAAAAAATAAGTTCTGCATAATTCAAATTATTTATAAAAACAATAAAAAGTGACCGACTCTACCTGCTTCTTTTGTTGTGACTGTCAGAACATTGCTGGGCTCGCTCATGCCCACACTGTTGATAGCAAACATGCGAAGGCTGTAGGTCTTGGCAGGATGCAAGTCTACCAAGGTCAGCTGAGTCAGCTCAGGATTTGAGACTTCAGTTGTTACTGCAGTATCCCAGGACGCTGTGCAACCAGAATGCATAGATAAGATGCATACTCCAATTTTAAAACAATACAATTAGCTGCCTAATGTCCAACTTCAATTAAGATTATCGGGATTGTTTCTTTGTGCTTACCCTGTTTGTTTTTGAGATCGATCCTGTAGGTAGTAATGGGTCTGCCGCCATCAAACACAGGAGTCCAGCGGACAGTGACAGTTCTTTCCTTCACCTCTCTTGTCTCCACCTTCAGAGGATTAGGGCGTACTGAAAAGAGAGAAAAACTAAATACAGTGCTACAGGCGTGGAAGAAGTACTCAAATCTTTTATATTATATTATATTCTGTTACAAGCGAAAAGTTACTTCAAGTTTCTTCAGTAAAAGTACAAAAGAATAGAAATATTCTACCAAAAGTAAAAGTACCCATTATGCAGAATGGCACATTACAGTATAATGTATAATATCTTATTGTCTTATAATTTTTATTGATTAATGTTTACATTAATTTAATGTTGCAGTTGGTAAAGGTGGGACTAATTTTAACTACTTTACTTTATCGTCTGGGTCTTGTGAATTTCCCCCCAAGGGATCAATAAACTTTTATCTTAATCTACAATATTACATCATGATTTCTTTGTTGATTAAATTTTTTATTATTAATCAGAATCTGCAAAGTAACTATTAAATGCAGTCAAACATTTCTCTCTGAAGTAGACATATAAATCAGCAGAAAATTTAAATACTAAAGTCAAAAAGTCTTTTTAGTTCATAAATACTTTACTTTACTTTCCACCACTGCAGGGCTATAATGTGCTGAAACAATTAGTTGATTAATCAATCAACAGATAAACAACAACAACATTATTGTCAAAAATGTTACAATTTATTGTATAGTAATTTCTGAAGCTAAATTTGCCAAAATGTGATATAATATAATGTGTGTCATTTTTCAAACAAGCAGTGAGTCACTGGGTGATTTAAGTAATTAAACGTTGTATTTTACTTTTATTTCTTCCCCTCAGAGATCATAATTCCTGCCTGTGGGTCTCACCTGCCACTACTGTCAGAGTCAGATGGTGTTTGTGATCGTTGAACCAGCCTGGTATTTCCACACGGCAACCATACATCCCAGAGTCGGCCTCCTCAACCTGCCGGATGGTCAGCGACACATCACCCCCACCAATATTACCCATAAACAGGTAACGCTCCGACAGTCTGCTCGTCACTGTTGTCCCATCTGACTTGATCACCTCATTGGCACAGCCGCTGTTGGGGATGGCTCCTCGACCCCAGCATGCAGGAAGCTTGCCGTAACTCTGAGCGTCATAGTTGCATTGCAAAGTGACATCTGTTCCGACTGTGGCTATGATGCCTTCTGCAGGCACACAACCTGAAAAAAAGTAGAAAGTCCAATAAGGCAATAAGGAATATTTGGTGTGATATATTAAATAATAACCTTTAATCTTCATCTTACCTAGGAGTAGACAGAAGAAGAGATTGAAACACAGAAGGAGATGTCTTCTGCCTAGAAAGATCATTTTACTTTCTTGTCTCAGAGTCAGTGGAAGGACTTAGTTCACCTGCCATACGACACTAAAGCAAACCACAGTGAAGTTTCAGCTTTGAAATCTTTCCAAATCACATGACGATGTTCTTGATATGCTCACATAAACAACTTCTGCTTGCAGAAGAGGAATGTAGAAAAGACCTGTTTCCTTTTCTCTGGTTTTGGTTCCTTCATCTGGAAGTAGCACACTGTTTCATTTTGATGATTAGACAGAGACAGAATCAAGGTTATCAACATACTGTCTTCACTCTTGTTGTTTGTTCTCAGTCCTTGTGGTGATAGGGACAGAAAGGCATTTCTAATGTTTTACAATGTTTTAACCGTTCAAATGCTCTACTTCTTTCTTTGATGAGCAGCTTTGCATCCACACACATTCTGCAGTAAACGGCTGGGAAATAATTTGTTCCAGTAGAAAATATTCAACATAACTCTCAGAAGACTCTTAACTCTAGGAAACTAACTTCACTGCTAACTGTTAGTGACAGCATGTGAGCACAAAAATAAAATGGTTTTGGATATATTATCTTTATTTTCATAGACATGTACTCAGTAGGTCCTGAAATGTGATGGAACAGTGATGGAAATAGAAAGTCTGGTTTACTCAAGGGTCATGGACTTTTGTATGTTTCTTAGACTGCTGACTAAACATTTGGGTGAACTGTTTAGTAACCCAGCACACAACTTCCTCTTTGATCAGATATTCTAATCAGTGGTGAGGTGCAGACCATAAAAGAAAGACTGTTGCTTCTCTCATACACTTGGGCTGTGTTCGAAATCACATACTAACATACTACATACTCAATTTGCATCTATTGCATACTGCCTACTAAATGAACGATTACATATGCAGACTGTTCACACTGAAGTATCTTACATATGTCTTATCTGAATCACATGACTGTATCGATCACAGTAAGCTCTAGTCTGAGATAAGTCTGACCACTCCAGACTAATCACAAGCTGTAGTTAAATGAAAATAGTTTATCACTAATGTAAGCCAGCCTTTCCACTTACACTCAATGTAATATTTTCCGCTATTTTCAGGCAAATTAACACAAAAAAGTGGTAGAGGCGTGCTAAAGGCTATTGTTTGTGGTTCACGTTTGATTAAAAGAACAATAAAGAATTAAGGTAAAATGGAGGTGAGAAAAGTCAGGAGGAGGAGAAGGATATGTAAGTTATCTTATAAAGTTTACCTAAAGTAGTGCTTAACTAAATAGAATAAATATGGAACAGTAGATTGAAATGTTGCTGAAGTCGTCTGCTATGTTGGTTGCAGTGGTCAGTGTCTATATTTACAATCTACACAGTTGATTTCTCAATTCAGATAATATCATAAGTGAATTTTGTTATGAAATAACGCACGAAAATAGTAAAAACAAAATTCCTTGCAGTCCGCCATTAACCAATAAGAAGAGATGCTATGCATTATGGGGCGGTTCAGTATATACTCAGATATTTTTGCTGATCTAGTATACATCCGGGCATTCTTTAGCATACACAAAATTCTCATATTATACATTTGAAACACTACATACTCAATTTGACGTCATAATTATGACTGACGTATGATCGGATGAATAGTACGTTAGTTTGTGATTTCAAACACAGCCTTTGGCTCTGGAAAATCACCACCCACCAAGTGACTGGTTATATCACAGATAGTCCAGTTAGACAATCAACTACTACATTATTTCAAAAATACAAAGCTGTAGTTATTTTATATTGTAATTATCAGTCCTAACAGATTTGGAAATTTTTGTATACTATCACACCTGTCGAGCTTACCTCCACATCAAATCCAAATGGATTTATGAGGTAGCTTTACTTATTTGTTTTTAACTTAACTCTGTGAGAGCACCAACTCTGTTGTACATGTGCACACAAAAAAAACATGAACAGCAGTAAAAAAGAAAGTTACATACAGTAAAAAGAAAACATGCAGACTTGCCAAAATTCAGATACATTTTCTCATGACATTTTAAATTCCTTTGAACACTTTCACAATCACACAAAGGGGATTTCCCACACTGGTTCAGAAAATATGCCTCTCTCCAGATTTCTTGGATTTTGCTTATATTGATACACTAATTCATATGAAACTGTCAGGGTTCTGAAGGGAACCCAGAAGCAGA